CTTTCCCTCTGTGCAGATGGTGCTGAAAGACAATGCTTCTGCATCTGAGACTTTTGACAAAGTTGCAGAAAAGTACACTCAAGTCATAAACCGACTTGGTCAAGAGTTTGAGAACAGGTTTTGTGACCTTGATCAGCTTGAGCCATGTGTCTCATTTGTTTCCAATCCTTTCATGAATGTGGACACAACATGCATTGCTGAGCAACTAAGTTCAGTGTTCAGCTTGGATGCTGGACAGGTGGAAATCGAAATTGTAACATTGCAAAATGACGTCCACCTCAAAGCCTATCTGGGTGCACCAAACTTTTGGTGCCTTGTTGACACAGAAAAGTACAGTGGTGTGTGCACAGCAGCTATGAAGGTTGCCAGCCTGTTTGGTTCAACCGATCTTTGTGAATCAGCCTTTTCTGACATGAACTTCATCAAGAACAAACACAGAACACGCCTCTTCGATGCACATCTGCAAGACTCACTCAGAGTTGCAAGTTATACCCCAGATTACAACACACCGGTGAACAGCATGCAATGCCAGGTTTCCCACTAACAAACAAAGAAAGCCATATTAGATGTGGAGTGATACGTACTGTGCTTCAACATAATATTACCGTATTGTATGTTTATAACCTCTTTTTAAGTTTTGTGGATATTATATTTGTTATGCTCAGGATACATCGGCCAATTTCCATGGAAATGCCTTTTGGTTAAACTGTCAGTAAGGAATTTGCATTTGCACTGTTAAAGTTTTTTATATAGCTTTAATGCACATAAAAAACAGCTGCTTGTTTAAGTGAAAATACATTGATGTGGGTTTTTTTTTTTGCACTAATAAAGTTGTGGAGTTGTAAAGTACTTTGTCTCGTGTCAATTATATCATCAGGTATATTGTTATTGCAAATTTTAAAATATATATATCGTGATAAATATTTTTGGCTATATTGCCCTGCCCTACTCATACATGTCCTGCACCACCCTCACTTACTTCCCTGTCACATCTTGACTTCCTCATTAAGTACCACAGTTTCTCTCTTGGAAACCTATCATATGCTTTCTCCAGATTGTCAAAGACATAGGTAGCCTCCTTCTGACCTTCTCTATACTTCTCCATCGACACACTCAAAGCAAAGATAACTTCTGCACAGAACCATATTGTTGCTCATGGATCATCACTTGTCTTCTTAACCTAGCTTCAAATACTTTTCCCCATATTTTTATGGTATTGCTACAGCGCTGCACATCACCCTTGTTGTTCAAAAATAATTATTATTACTACACTTCTTCTCCAGTCCTCAGGCATATTCTCTCTCTCTAAGACTGTTAAATAATCTGGTCAAAAAGTACACTGCCTTCTCTTCTAGACATTTCCATAGCTCAAGACCAACTACTTTTCCACTCTTCACCCTCTTCAAAGCCGTCCTTACTTACTCCTTACTAATCCTCTGTACTTTCCGATTGATTAACTGTCCTTTCTCCATCCTCTTCTGTTTCCGATTTTCTTAAATGATGAGCTCCTCAAAATACCCCTTCCATCTTCTCAACACACTCCCTTCACTTGGTAGTACATATCCATCTCTACCCTTAAACACCCTACAATTAAATACAATAATTGAAATTCAAACTATATATTTTGTTTCCCCAATTATGAATACATTGACAACAACCTGTGAGCACATCAAGATTATTTAATGTTTTGGCTCTTACTAAAACAGTCCATTGCTGTATGTCAGAGTACTGGGATGCAGAGCAATCCTTACCTCTGGTTTTCCTTGATTTCCTTTCCTTGGAAATAAAAAACAAGAAAAGAAAATACAATTGAGGGGCCTTTTTAAAAAAATATTTAAAATGTACGGCATATGACCAAAATACTGTTTCTATTAAATATGTAGTTAGCCTCAGCTAACCCCTACCATTGATCAACACAGACTCAGTTCCCATGTCACATGACACACATAAGAAACTTTGCAGGTTGGCTTCTACTACTTTTATAAATGCTCAGTTACTTCACATACTTGCAGATCCGGAGCTTTCCAACTTCTCCTCTGCCTGTCGCTTTTGCCCATTGTTGAGAAAGGTATTTGGGCACCTGGAAGAAGAAACACTATTTATAGTTAAACTATCCACATGCACAAAATATAAGCAATAATCATTATTACACTCCTTTCCCACTATTAAAAAGAAACTGTTACGTTTGCAGTTTTGTCACATACTTTGGTCTAAATCGCTAAGCTAATTGTGTACATCTTAAGATTTTATCCAATGTACATCCCGTCACTGTTTGCACTGCTATTATTCTAACTAAGGGTGTTGTTTACCAAGACTGTGAAGACTAAGTGATAGCATCTAATTAAACCAGTTGTTTATAGTGTGTTCTGCTCCCAAAATATTGTACTATGCCAGTTTAACCGAGCTAGCTTACAGATGATAAACTTAGCCAGCGTTAGATAACTTAGCAGCAGATGCTAAGCTACCAGACCGTAAGCTTTAGCCGTGTTTAAATTAGTAACTCACCGTACATCCCATTAACTAATGTTATTACAAAGAGTGTATACGCACCTTAACGAGCCACACGCCTGTATTTTGTTTGGCACCGGTCAAATCCACCTCTCCTTTTTCTGACATATTTTAAAATGACGACTGTTAAAACTCTAGCAGGGCAACCGCCACACGCATGCGTAAATGAAATATGGAAGTATGGCGACTCTGAAGGTCCATATTCGTTACTACTACTGCCTTCACTACGCTTAGCCACTACTAAAAAACAAGAGTTGTTAAAAAATTACAACACAATGACAGTTTTTTTTTCAGTCTAGTCAACTTAAAAGCAAATACTTTTTACATATTAATGCATTTTACAGCAATTTTCAGAAAAAGCTTAGCATAAAGTCAAATCAGATGTACAAAGGGATCATTAATGCAAATTTTACAGGCTGTTATGCCATTAATCTAATTAGTTAAACGTCAAATTAAAATTGAAACGTTAACCCCACACATAAAAACTTAGGCTAAATTGTTTCTCATCTCTCCTTTACCATTCCTAAGTACAAAGTCTGAGTTTTACAAAAAATTTCAGCACACAAAAACTGAAAATGATATTCGATCTGACAGTATTTATATCACCTAAATTTAGCAAGACACATGGGGTTGATCTCGATGTTACCTGTACAAACATGGTCCAATGTGAAAATATAAGCTGATGTGCTGCAAGAAAAACATTCTACTTGTTTTGTGTCTTTCATCTTCTCTTTCATGCTTTTTGTTCTGTGCTCAAAGTCCTGAGCCAAGGCGTCCTGAATTGACCTTTTGCCAGCATGGGTCCACTCACACCATCCTCATCCTCTCACTCACTGCCAATGGGCTCAGTCTGGTAACCTCACCAACAATGTTTTCATACGCTCCACAGCAAAATCCAGGAGGAAGAGCAGGTCCCAGCACAGGTGACCCAAAGGAAAAAATTAAGTTACAATTTACAATTTATAGTTACAATTATCCTCAACTTAATATTTTCACTTATTTTTCCTCATTCACTGGGAAACCTTTATAGGATAGGAACTCAGGTACTTAAATCCTGGTGGCCGGGCTGGTCCTGACATATGGGGCTTGTTTTGAGTTATTACCCATTTAAAGGCTTTTCAAATGAGTGAAAAGGGAAAACAAGATCATGTCTTTTGACCTAGATAGTTAGGCATTTAGCTAGCTAATTCAGAGACAATGAGAAACAATCAACCTTTCTTTCTCTCAGACTCTGAACAATTCCAATAGTTATCCAATGCTTTTGTGAAGGGTAACAACCCTAGTTAAAGAGTACAATTGTTCAAGGATGTAGAACCTTGTATATTAGCATGGTTGCAGCCACGCTTTGTACTTCCATTGTTTTATAATTACATTTACATGTACCTCTGTAAATATGATGTTTTTGTCAACTTTTAATGGCTTTTATGAAGAAGTCCAAGTAGTATTTCTAAGAGGAAGAAGACAATGAAATGGTGAGAGCTTAGTATCAAGAGACCATACCTGGTGCTGCGAGAAAAAAGTAGTCACATCAGGTATAAATTTTTGAGGATGCAGGCTTAGGTAAAAACTCCGTCACTGGGTTGACAGACTCTGCAAACCTAACAGCTCGCTAGCGGACTTCCCTCTAACATCTCCTGTCCTATAGCAAGTAAACCAGCTGCATGACATGCTGATTAAATTTACCGAAATCCCCATTAGACAGTTTTTTGTATATAGCTTTTATGATAAATCAGTAGTCAGTGCAAAGACTGATTAAAAGCAAATATGTCACAGATGTATTGACAGCTAAGAATACAAGGGGGGGGGGGGGGGGGAGTAACAAAATAAAAAGTTTACATCTTTATAACCATGACTCTCAACAGTAATGCAATTGTCAGGCTGCCAGCCAGTTTCCTTGTACTAGAAGCATTGGCTGTATAAAACACTTTAATAATAACAATGATAATAATAACAGTCATCTGTATTACACTTTTGACTGGAGCTGTGTATTGTATAACTCGCTGGCCACATCTGGCCAGCTGGCTATCCCTGACCAACCCACTTGAGGTCAATGGGTAATTCGGTCTGAAACATAATTATAAACTATCCAATTTTCCCCCATTTTTTATATTAAGTTTTTGATGGTCTATTGGTCTTTTGTGAAAAATGACAATACACATATTTTGCTTTTCTTTTGCTTTTTCTTTTGAACTTTTTTCATTTTTTCCCCTTTTTTATGGACAAATGTGTATGCAAGAAAAGCAAGAGAAAACACTTGTATAGTGAGTTGCATGTGAACCTGGTTAGTAAGGAAAGAGAAAGAATAGACTTGTACTGATTGTCTAGACAGAGCACTTGAGCTGGAAAGGATGTACAGCAGGTTAGGATGGTAAAGGGTAGAGATCGAAATAAGATGGATATGTATTAGCAAGTGAAGGGAGTGTGCTGAGAAAATGAAATGAGTCTTTTGAGGAGCTCATCAATTAAGAAAACCAGAGAAAGAGTATGTAAGTAAGATAATTAGTGAATCAGGAAGTGCAGATGATTAATAAGGAGAAAGCGAGGGCAGCTATGAAGAGGATGAAGAGTGGAAAGATGTTTGGTCCTAACGCCAAACCTGTGGTGCTGTCTAGGAGAGAGGACAGTGGCCATCCTAACTGTTTAACATGATCAGATGCACTGTTTGCTTCGGGAGTTGATGATGGACAAATAAAGAGAAGGTCAGAATGAGCTGTGCTGTGTCTTTGTGGATCTAGAGAAAGCATGTGATAGGGTGTGGCAGCCTTGAGCCTTGGTGGCTCCATGGTTCCTCCATGGAGCATCCTAACCAATTTCTGCTCACATGAGTGTGACAATTTTCTTCCAAACCTTGGCACCATGGTTACATATCTGAAAAAAAGGCCATTACACACCTAACGCAGTGCAAAGAGACAACATAAAATTCCTTATGTTTTCTGATGTGGTCCTGATGTTTCTAAACAAGAAAAGGAAGAAACTGAGATTGTTGGTTCGTCTAGTTTTCATGAAAAGGCAGCAGCAGGGAGATTTTCATGGTTTGATCCAGAAGTTGATGCTGCATCACAACTGCTTTCTTATTTCAGGATGTCAATGAGGCAGTTTGAGCTAATGTTGGCAGAGTTGGGTCCACATCAGAGAAGGCAGTGAAATAATTTCAGAGAGCCGATTGACACCGAGCAGCCTGTAGCTGTGTGCCTTTTGAACTGATGATCTTGGAATCTGTAGGTATTTAGAAACGGTTCCTACTTGTGTAAATCTACAATTATCCTCTTTGGAGCCTGACAGAGTTCCTTGTCAATCAGTCAATCACGATCACTAATAAGAAGTTAATAGGAACCTGTCAAGTTAAATGAAACTGTAGAACCGTCAGTATCACTTATTAGGTTTTAAGTGAGTCAATCTATATGTTTGAGCCTGTATGTTTATTGTTTCATTGCCCCAACTTAAAGCCATAGGCACTGACCAGACTCTTTTAAATGAACGTGCAGCAGTGTTTAAGTGCAAAATGGAAACACTGTAGTAATACACAAATGGCTTAACCTGGCTAAGAAGTCAAACAAATCCTGTTTTCATGCTTTTTGAACTTTAATGCTGGATCACGCTCAACTTAGCAGTGACGTCACTCTCAGCTCAGACATCTGAAGCAAATTGAAAGCAACATTAGCCTTAGCTGGTTAAATTAGTCGTTCTCCTTACATCCAATTACCTAATGTTATTACAGAGAGTGTATATGTACTTTAATGAGCCACACGCCTGCATTCTGCTTTAAATATTTTAAAATGATGACTGGGATCTCGATCAATGCTACCGCCAAATGCATGCATAAATGCAATATGCATATATAGCGACTCTGAAGAGCCCCAATTTTACAACCATTACTACGGCGTAGGACTTAAATGCTGGTTACTAAAAATAGGTGTGTTAATAAAGAAACACAACATGCCAAGAAAGTGTTTTTGTAAAAGTTTGTAGTTTATAAAAGTTTAATATACAGTTTAAAGTTGCCATAGCAGTACAACACATTTTATAGGAGTTTCAGAAAAAGCTTAAAAGGAATCAATCACAGATGTAGAGTGCATTAATGTAAAGATTTGAGCCTTTTATATCTAGATGCCAAAATGGCAGTTTGGTTTAAAATGTTCACTTTTTGCATTTAGAACAAACAAAAGCAAAAACAGAGAAATATTTAAGGAGCCAAAAAAATGAAGTACTTTGAATCGAGAAAGTATTTTTCTCTCTTTAATAGGTAGTCCATAACAGACTGAAGATATTTGTATAATGGCATTAAATAAAACATTATCTAACCCAGTATTATACTGCACTATCCCCCATTTTAATTAAAACCACACATAAACACTTAGGCTAAACTGTTTCTCATCTCTCATTTACCACCCCTAAGTACAAAGTCTGAGTTTTACACAAAATTTCAGCACACCAAAACTGAAAATGACATTCAATCTGACACCATTCATAGCAACTAAATTTACCAAGAGACATGTGATTGATCTGGATGTTACCTGTACAAACACGGTCCAATCTAAAAATATAAGCTGACGTTCTGCAGGAAGAACATTTGAATTGTTTGCATTTATTTTATAACTCTAAAAGCTCAAATAGCTGCTGTTTTATAACAGATTGAATGACTATAAAACATCTGTTATAACAATGGCGTCCTGTCATTTACACAAACTATTGTGTGTTAAACTCCAGTTTCATAGACCAACAAAGCTTAGACCATACTCTATGAAGTCTAAAGGAAAATGTATTTTTACACATTTTTGACATTTTCGGTGTGTTAGAGGAACATTCGCTCCTTGCTGTGGGAGAACCGTGTGTTCAGTTCCTGAGACTTCTTCAGCAGCCGCTTCTTCTGCGCTTCATCAAAGCGGTTCACTTGCAGGTCTGCGTCACGATCGAATGGTCTCCTCTCGACTGGCTGGTCAGCTTTCTCCTTGGCCTTCTCCTTCATCTTCTTTGTGTGAAGGCTCATCAGAGACTCCGCACGTTTAGAATCCTAATAATTAGTGACATGTACAGAAATTTTAGTCCTGAACTCAATGTGAACAAAAATGCATACTCTGCTAAACGGGAATATTTAAGAGATGTGAAAAATGAAGTACAACCACTTACATTATACTTGGACACTTTCTCTGCCATTTCCAAGTCTTTGTGAG